CAAATTTTCTCAACTATAGAATTCTGGACAAAACAATCTTTCTTCAGAATGATCCTGTTCCTAGTGACGTCCTTCTTCATCAGTACTTCAGCGCTCAACATCCTCATCATCGCTCCAACTCTCTCTTATAGCCATGTCTCATTCAATGCTAAAATCGCTGATAGCTTGTCGTCTAAAGGTCACAAAGTGGTAAAAAAAAGTTCTATGTGCTATTTGAATATTCTTTTTTCCGTTTTCCTTTTTCAAAAACCATCTTAAGTTAATGCTAATGCCAGACGTTGACAGCAGCGTGCCAACACCTTCTGGAAGTTATGAAGTATGTGACTGGAATTCAAAGTACTTTAGATCTCCGAAAAAAGCTCTTTAGGTGTTAAGAAAAGATGTGGGCCTTGCGCCAGGACAGCTGTCAAGCATGCTGTGGAAAAATCCAAGTCCTTATGAAGACAGTTCTCCGCTAAATCTGAGAATATTTATAAAGCTTGTACGAGTTTCATCATTGTTTGTCAGAGCTTGCGAAGGTATGCATCTTTAAGGATATTGTAATGAAATAGTAAATGTTGATATTTTCGATCGCTTCGAAATTGACAAATGAATTCTCCCACCACCTAGAGTTGTGCATCTGGCCTTAGACTGCTTCAATGTTGACTATTAAATGAGCTATCATTTGTGAAGGGGAACCTGTCATTTGCCCTTTTTACTCAATTTTACTGTTTGTTGATTTATTTACGCAAAAAGTGTGCCAAAAAGAAATCAACGCAAAAAATGGTTAGTCTCCATCGAGTCCTTGAAAAGATCCGGATGCTACAATTTCCTGCTATATGTGCCCAGTAAAAACACAGCTTATATAATTATTTTATATAATCAAATTTCCTAACTTCCCTTATCTTTCAATTTTTTTTTGACAAATTCAAATGCTCCCAGCAGTATAGCTCTACGAAGCTCGATAAAAAAATATTTGAAAAAAAATCTGGAACGTGAAAGTTCGAAGCGATTAGTAAGCAATGTTTGATAAGAACATTATTTACTTTACGCCATAGCTGAATTTATACAACGATGATCAATCGTGCCAATCTAATTTTTTTATTGGTTGTAAAGAGACCCAAGTAAGTTATATGATGTTACAACATAGGATTCGATAGGCCTTAAATCCATACTGCATCGAAACTAAAGTGACAAGTAAACGTTCGCTACCACCTAATCACGGATGTCCTTTATTGGAAGTCTGCAAATTCAAGGATCCTCCTTGTGCTTTAGACGATGCTGACAAATCAAAAATATTGATATTTCAGCTCTGGCAAACGATAACCTCCTGATGAACCTTTTACGAGAAAG